GCAGGAAAATTAAGGGCTAAAAAATCCTATCACCTGTCTTTTCAGATAAGAATGCAGACAGTGCAACCTTCAGCAGCCATCTTTAAAAAAAAAAAAAAAAAAAAAAGTACATGCAGCATATTTAGAACTCAGCTGTGTCACATCAGACTTACTGTTGGGAAGTGGATCATGAACGGAATCCAAAAATAACAGCCATTAAAGACCTAGCAACCAAAACATGTTTATGTATCCACTGAAAGCCTGGTGGTTTTGATTATATAGTGAAGTGCATAATCCACTGGTCTATTTTAAGTGAATTTTCCTTTCACCTTCCTTTAATTTTAAGGCATAAGATGATTTCTTTGTGTAGGGGTACACAGGGTAAAGTTTGGGCAGGTAATAGGTACTGAAATAATGCAAGATTCCTATAGTTTCATTTGTTTACATGTTTTCTTTTAAAAGACCAGTCTCCTGAATTATAACTTGCTTTCCTTCTTCTTCCTCTACCTGAGAGAAGTTATTACTTTTTTGAGACTTCTACGATAATAGGTTCTAAACTATGCCTTGCAAAATTATCATGGTCCTTATTATCCACCCCCCCAGACTTGTACAGTTTTTTTTTATTATTCTACCACTTCTGGAACAAAAAATTTGAATCAATGACAAGTAGATTATAAATAGCTTTAAGACCTCAAGGTGGCTCCAAAATGAAACCATTCTCAAGGGACATAAGGAAGTTGGATGACAAGCCAAGGGTAGTTCACTTTACCAAATTTATCTTTCTGCCAGATTTTCACTATTTCATATAACATAAAGCAATCACAGTAAATCTTGTAGAGATCCCACTCTGAAGTTATTTGTTATCAGATATTGGGAGAGACTTGGAAGGAGACTAAATATACCTTAAGAAATATAATTTCATTTAACCATAAAGATTTAACATGCAAAGAAGGTAAAAAGATGAATCACGCTATCTTCAAAGTCTTAAGTTGTAGCCTTCTAGCCTTTTTTATACGAGACAAATAACTTGAATCCCAAGGAAGAAGATTGTGATCTCCCTGAGTTCCATAATCATCTCCTCGCTGAGGAGAAAGCAGCTTTTACAACCTAACCCAGAGGTGATAATCCTAATAACCAACACATCGACAAATGGGAGGGAAAAGGAGAGAAAGGAAAAGGTGATGGTAAACAGAACCCAACTATACTGGAAAGAACTAAAGTAAAAAGTCCCTACTGTTTTTGTACTTCGGGAGGTGGGGAGCAAAAGAAATAAAAAAACAAATTTGTGGAGTCATACAAATGTCACAAAATTTGTGACTATTACTCTTTTCTAATGAGGTAGCCCGAAGAGACACTACTTATATCTTTCCTACTCAGAGAGTTCAGAGATGCTTTTCTTGTATATGCCTTGTTTTTATCACCCATTTTCATTTCTTTGAGATGTCCTTGTCTGGGTAGTTTTAAGCATACAGTATATAAGAGGGGGTATAGGATTTGAGTAGCTCAATAGTAAGTGAAAAAAAAAATAACAGTAAATATGTAAGAAATAAGTCTTTTCACCAAAATAAAAATCTTTAAAGAAAAGAAGTGAAAAAGTATCAGGTATCAGTTCTAAAAGTGATAATAAATTATATTATCAAATTTACAGAAGGGATCATTTTTAAATACGTACTTTAATACAGGTAAATGGTAAGTGAAACAAATTTATCCTATATTCCCAACTGACTTCCACTGAAAAACTAAAATATAACTATTATGTTGTTGGGAAAGTCATGATGCATTTTTGAATAGAAAAGTACATCATGACTTTCCCAACAACCAAATATATAGGGAGCATGCAGTCAATAATAAAAATTAAAAACTTTCACAAGGAAGAAAGTACACCCCAGGATTCTTTTTTTGGGGAGAGGTTTTTGCTATAGGGAGCGTGTGCTCGCCAGAAAGACAGAGACAAAGGGACTGAAAGCGGGAAATCACGCCCCCCCCCCCAAGGGGGGATGGCCACACCACAATCCCTTCTCCTCCTTTCTCCTCTCAGGATCTTGGGCATGCACGTACACGGGCCCAGTGTGAGTTTAAGCCACCGGGTCTGGGACTCAAACCACGGTTAAGTACATGATAGTCCAGTGACATTGTCATTATGCCAACTCCTGGTCCCAACACTCCAGAATGAGATTGTGGTCCGCCAAAAAAAAGAGAAAAAGGGACTGAAAGGGGGAAATCCCCCCCCCCCCCCAAGGGGGGATGGCCACACCACAATCCCTTCTCCTCCTTTCTCCTCTCAGGATCTTGGGCATGCACGTACACGGGCCCAGTGTGAGTTTAAGCCACCGGGTCTGGGACTCAAACCACGGTCAAGTACATGATAGTCCAGTGACATTGTCATTATGCCAACTCCTGGTCCCAACACTCCAGAATATTGAATACTGCAGAAGACAATGGCTTTGTTGGTCTTTTCTGAAATTTTCAGCATCTACTAGAATTCTGAATTTTCTTCCATCCATTCCTTGTCACCACTTCCATCTCATCTACCTCTTGAATGTCAATTCTTAGTAATCTCTGGAATTTAGAGCTTCTTTCTGTCTAAGTATTTACAATGTTTAGTAGAACTAGTCTGCAGTCTCACATACCACCAGTGTCACTGGATAGTCACATGACATATTCCTAACAGAAGAGAAACTCTACTCCCTAGGTTCTATAAAATGAATTCATGAAGACAGATAAAATTTTTTTTGTATTCCTTTCTTCACCCTTTATGGAATATGGTAATAGGGAAGGGTCTAGGAAGAAGAGTTTAGAAGGTACAAAATAAAAAAATTTTTTCATAAAATTACTTTTACAAAGTAATTTCAATAATATTACTTTATAAAAAAGTACACAAAAAATCATCATACATATAATGTACATATAGGCAAACAAACAATTATGTGACAGCTGCACACAGGACAATACATTCCATGGCTTCAGAGAAAAGGTTATGAGATCTCATAAATTCTATGTTGATTTTGTCTCTCTTTCTTTCTTTTTAAGGTTTTTGTCATAGAGCATGTGTACTCGAAAGAGAGAGAGAGAAAGTGAGAAATCACCTCCCAACCAGGATGGCCAACCACAAGCTCTTCTCCTCTTAGGATTTTGGGCACACATGCATGCACATGTACCCAGCATGATTTTCAAGCCACCAGGTCTGAACCTCGAAAGTAGTCCATGTGGGAATCCAGTGCCTTAACTACCACGTCACCTGCTGGCCCTGAATTTGTCTTTCTTAATTGCTAACAAAGATTTTCTGGGTCAACTGTCAAAAGAAACACTTTTCAGGGTCCAGCAGGTAGAGCGTGGTGGTTGAAGGTGCTGAATTCCCCACATGGCTGACCATGGTTGGAGTCGTGGACCTGACAGCTTGCTTTCTCACTTTCCCTTTCTCTACCTGGTAAAAATTTAAAAATTATAATAACAAATGGAATTAATTAAATAAATAATTCTTAAAAAAAAAAACAACTTTTCTTATTTAAAAAATCCAGCTAGCTGTGGCATGGTAGCTGGATCCTACATGGCTATCTGGCTCAAGTATTGGACCTAGCAACTTGAAATATACACTGGGCATGTGTGTGTGCATGCCCAAAATTCTGAGAAGAGACTGAAGAAGAAGGGATGTGGTATGGCCATCCCCACTGAGGGGTAATTTCTCACTTTCCCTCTTTCTCTGTCTCTCTCCTGTGAGCACACACATCCCACAGCAATATAATAAATAAATAATAAACACATTTGAAAATTGGGGTTCACAATGAATGGATATATTCTCAGTTGCCTCTGTAAATATGTTAAGGAGATTTTTATACCCATGAAGGTTGAGGAAAAGATATTTTCAAACTTGCTTTATATTTATATGGATAGCTTTAGAAAGGAGGAGAGAGCAACATGTACTCTTCAACACTGTGTCGGGAAACAAACACCAGTAGAATAACAATATGGAAGAGAGCAAGGCAGATTTCATTACGGTAGAGTGCCTACACTTCCTCATAACTTGGATTTACACACTGCAAATCCTCTGATCTGATTACCTCCAGTGATCACGTAAAATACCGGCTTTAAACTCTTTGCCTTAGTGATAAAACAGCCACTTTGATTCACAACGAGACATTCACAATAAAGTATATTGTAAACGTACCTGTCCACAGCCCGGGGCATTGCACACAAACGGTCTGTCGTCTCCCATATTTCATATAGCAGAGCGGAGCTGAGGAGGGGGAGGCAGGGGGAAAAAGTTATGTTAAATACGCTGGAGCAAGAAAAAAAAGTGCTTCAAAAATATCAAGCCTAGAAACAGGTGCTCTAAGAATGCTATTTATCAAAGCTGTAAACACAGGCTACTTTGGAGAGACCCATTAGACAGGTGGCATATGATCTATTGTGCTTCAATTGAAACTTTTAATTAGAAAAATTTAGACCTTAATAGTCAAGGAATTTCAAGCCTTTGCTAGATTTTCTCTCTTTCTGCTACAGTATATAACACACTTATCCAGTGTGCTGAATTACAACCAGTGCAGTTCCCTATGTCAATAAATCCACTGAACGCTCGATGCGGAAGCCATATTTCTGAACTAGAGAAGACCAAAATTTGTCATTTAATTAATTAAGGGATTATAGGAGGGGTGCTCCATTTTACAGGGCCATAATCAGGCTCCCTGGTGTATAAACTACGAGACTGCTGGCAAGGGCCGTTTATCCCAGATTATTGCCAAAGAAAACAAAGCACCCATCCTATTGGGCTACACGGGAAATGATTTTCATTAATAAAAAAATAAAAATAAAAACCTTCTCTCCCCACTGGGAGCCTCCTTCTCCCCCCACCAATCGTCTGTGGCAAATGGAGAAATATCGATGCCCTTCCCCCTCTGATTCTATTTATGGCTAGGTTTTTAAAAGCAGCAATAAAACAAATGTCGACTCTTTGGGGGTTTACTGGGTGAATATGTTCCGGCTGTTTGTGCTGCTCTCGGCCAGAGTTCTTGGGCTGCTCTGTTGCAGCCAACAGATGTGAGCTGCTGCAGGGGATAAAAGAAACAGCACTAAAAGGCACTGCCATCCATCCCCTCTATTTCTCTGAAGAATTTAACAGAGTTTATACATTTTTTGTTTAATTATTGAAGCTAAACTTTCAAAATGTGGATTGAAATCCTTTGTCAAAGAACAATGGTGTCAATTTGAATGTGCTGAGGCAATTTTTCATATTCCAACTAGGAATAACAACAGAGGAGGAGATAGCTAAGGATAAAAAATATGCAAATCGCTGTAAGGATATTCCTAAAGGGCAAACATTATTTTGGAAGAGCAGAAGAGAAAAATGGATAAGAGAGTTAAAAACAGTCTCACAATAACTGAAAATAAACAACAAAAGCAATCTCACAGAATAAACTCCAAAAGATCATTTCAAACATCTTTTCCTAAGAGAAATGTATACAAAGAATAAAGGAAGATGAGAGAGAAACTATCCTTTGAATCTGCCTGGAAATAACTTCAGGGCTGTAACCAAATTTCAAATTTTGATTTTGGAGATACACTAAAATGCAAAGTCCATCTCAGCCAGGCCTACATTAAAATAGAATGTTAACTTATTACGCTGAAGCTGATCCTCAGAAAACCATGTTAAAACTTACTGAGGGTAGCTACGGAACATCTCTTCTATTCTCTTTGAACTCACTCTGGAGTTAGAAACCAGTACTTCTGGTTGTTTAATCAGTAATTTTATAACTAATTGGTGTTTAAAATTGTGGGGCGCTATATAAAATAGAAGTGGCTTCCTGGTCATCTCTCAGTGTGATAGGAACATGTTCTAACTATGAAGGAAACTGATGCTGCAGCATTGCTGTAATGGAAGACAGCCTGTATGTACCTACGTGTACACAGATTTATATCACATTTAGCCAGGATAAATTGCTTCAATAAACTCTGTTCCTAGGAGAAGCCAGCTCAGGCTGATGACTGTGTACTGGGAAATGAGAGCTTCACTCTTCTTCACATAGCCCCAAGACAAGGGGGTTTTCTGGTTTGTTTGCTTTAAATACGAGATGATATTTTAGCACTTTCTGGAACTACAACACGGTCCAAAAAAAAAGTAAATAAAAGTATATAAATGCATAGACCTAGGCCATTACGGCTGTGAACTCAAATCATTTCTGGAAAGCAATTCATCTCTGGAAAAATTTCTAACTATTGTGCTAGAGATAATTTCACTTAATAGTTTGAGAACCTGTTTTTCTAATAAAATCGAAATGATGGGACTAGAAGATAATGTAATGGTTAAGTCACTGGATTCCCACATAGTTGATTGTGGTTTGAGTCCCAGATCTGGCACGTAAAACACACCAGGCGGGTATAAATGCATGCCCAAAGTTCCAAGAGGAGAATGGATAAGGGATTATGGCATAGCCATCCCCCTAAGGGAGTGATTTCTTGCTTTCTATCTCTTTGCCTCTCTCTCCATCCAGAAAGTACATACACCCTATAGCAAAAACCTCTCTTAAAAAGAAAAAAATGGGGAACCAGCAGTTAGCGTAATGGCTATGTTGCTGGACTCCCACGTAGTCGACCGCAGTTCGCATCTCGGACCCAGTGGCTTAAAACTCACGCCGGGCGCGTGTGTGTGCATGCCCAAGACCCCGAGAGGAGAATGGAGGAAAAGGGATTGCGGCGTGACCATCCCCCCTGGGGGGTGATTTCTCGCCTTCTGTCTCTCTGTCTCTCTCTGTCTGTCTGGCGAGCGCACGCGCCCTATAGCAAAAAAACAAAAAAACCTCTCCAAAAAAAGAAAAAAGAAAAAAATGATAATTTTATTTCAATAAGGTCTTCTAACATGAAGCAAACTACAATGGCTGCAGTAGACATAGCATAAAGATCAGATAGGATTCCTTACTTTCATGGTGGTTCTGTTATTTGAGGCTAATTCTCATTTTTCTCCCTATTTAAAAGAGAGGAAGGAAAGGGTCCTCATTGAGAAGTGGGGCAGTACTGGCATAGGAAGCAATTAAATAAATTCTGGAATGGTTTCCCTCAAACCACAAAATTCAAAATTTATCTTGGCTTTGTATACTCACTCCACAATATATGGCTTCTAAATTTTACTTAATAGCATCCATACTAGGATACAGAGATGAGAAAATGATGAGTTTATAAAAGGGAAAAAAGCAAAAAAAAATCTTGGGGAGAAATGGCATTAAAATCTAACAGAAGGAAGCATTTTCGTTGCTCTTAAATATTCAACTGACAGCAACTAACGAGAATTTCCTGCTTCCTTCCCAATTTGCTGGTCTTTGTTTTACCATTTTCACTAAAAGGAGTCACAATGGAAGGTTTCCTTTCTTAAACACTCACAATTCTCTTTGTTTTTAATACCAGAAGGCACATTTGTGTATTAAGTGAGAGAGAGAGAAAGCAACCCCCCATGGGGACTGGTCACACTTCAACCCTCTACCCAGTCAAGATTCTGGGTGTTTTCCAAGCTGAAGAGGCCAGGACTCAGAGCCTGGTCAGCCATGTGGGGTTGGCTTCCTATGTACAGTACCTAACCAGTGTGCTATCAAGCAGGCCCCACAATTATTCTTAAATCATTCTCTCAAGTCTCTTGCTGTTTGTCATTGCTATCATTCTTGCTTTTAAAAAAATCTTTCACCTTAAAGTGATTTATTTATCTTTTTTGACTAGAGGATGCATGAGTTCACCAAATACAGGCAGAGAGACACAGAGAAGGGGAGAGGAGAAGGCATCCCTAGTGGAGAATGGTGACACCACAATCCCTTCTCCTCCATCTCTCCCTTCTTTTCGGATTTAGGGCACACATGTGTCCAGCGTGTTTCTCAAGCAGCTGAGTCCAAGACTTGAACCATATGGTTGGCCATGTGGGATCTGGCTGCTTTAGCCACTAGGCCACTGAGTCAGCCAAAGTGATTTATTTTTGTAGTTAAGTGGAGCACTTTTTTTTTTTTTTTTTTAATTTGTCAGAGGGCATGTGTGCTCTTTGAAAAGAATGACTGAGAGAAAATGAGAAAGCACCCCTCCAGGGGGGATGGTCACACTACAATTGCTTCTTCCCTATTTCTCTCTTCTCTTGCCTAGTGTGTTTTTCAAGCCACCTGGTCCAGGACTTGAACCATGCAGCCAGCCATATGGGATCCAGCTACCTTAACTGTTGTACCACCAGGATAGCCCAAGAAAAGAGCCTTCTTTTTTTGTTTGTTTGTTTGAGAGGTTTTTTCGCTATAGGGCGCGTGCGCTCGCCAGACAGAGAGAGACATAGAGACAGAAAGCAAGAAATCACCCCCCAGGGGGGAATGGTCACGCTGCAATCCCTTCTCCTCCATTCTCCTCTGGGATCTCGGGCATGCACGCACATGCGCCCGGCGTGAGTTTTAAGCCACCGGGTCCGGGACGCGAACTGCGGTCGACTACGTGGGAGGTCCAGCGACATAGCCATTTTGCTAACTGCTGGTTCCTGAGAAAAGAAACTTCTGACAGGGTCTCACCATGTTGCAATTCTCTTGCCCAGTCAGCTAGAACCACAGGCATGCACCAATACCCCCAATCTAGGCTGGCCCAAGATCCTGGGAGAATAGAGACTGTGGCCTGGACATATCCCCAGGGAGTGATTTCTCACTTTCCTTCTCACTGTGTCTGTCTGTCTGTCTGTCTCTCCAGTGAGCCCACATGCCCTAAGGCAAAAACCTCTTGACAAAAAGAAAACAGATTCTCTCTTTAGGTAAATATGGATTTTTTTTTTTTTAATAGATGAGGATGGAGTCCCTCAGTGGGAATTAAAAAGTCAATGGTTGTTATGTGATAATTTTCCTAGTAGTCAACTGACATTAATAAGATGACCCAACTCTAAGTAAGGAATAAAAGCAAAATACAAACACACCCAGGGGCCTGTTAGTTTCTTAATGACAAAAAATCAGCATCGCCAGGTTCAAAAAGTAAAACAGGCTTATGTAACATAAATAACAAAAATTCCAAAACACTACAGAGGTTTAGACTAGCTATCATTCATTCATTCAAAAAAAATTACTAGGCGCCAGCAGGTGGTGTAGTGGTTAAGACACTGGACTCCCACATGGCAGGCCATGGTTAAGAGTCCCGGACCTGGTGGCTTGCTTTCTCACTTTCTCTTTCTCTCTCTGGTGAGTCCACATGCAAATTAAATAATGAAAACAATAAATAAAATAAAATAAAATTTTAAAAATCCCA